CAGGGCTCCAGGACACCCTTGACCTTTCAGCCTCCTCATTACCTCTGCGGAATGGCACCACGACCAAACTAAAGATTGCGGGTATTATATGTGTTATTAAGACAGCATTGGCCGGGCACGGTGGCTCACACCTGGAATCCCAGCACTTGGGAGGCCGAGGCAGGTGGCTCACTTGAGGTCAAGAGTTTGGGACCAGCCTGGCCAACATGAGGAAACCCCATCTCTACTAAAAATACAAAAATTAGCTGAGCATGGTGGCGCGTGCCTGTAATCCCAGCTACTCGGGAGGCTGAGACAGGAACCTAGGAGCCAAGGGAATTAAAAAAAAAAAAAAGAAGTGTATGCGTAGACAGTTGTTGATTTCCTCCAGCTGCCTGCCAGCTGTCTTCTCTAGCTGTGGGCACGGCATGTATAAGGCTCGTCTCCTCGCCCTCACCCTGCTCATTGTTCATAGCTGCGTAATATTTTGCAGAGCAGATAAACTCTACCAGCCTGAATTACTCCCCAGGGTTAAACATCTCCTTTCCTGTTGTAAATATCACTGCAATTCCTATGGCATTTTTCCTTCAATTCAGTAAACTTTTTTTTTTTTTTTTCCCTCAAGACAGTCTCACTCTGTTGCCCAGGCTGGAGTGCAGTGCTGCAATCTCGGCTCACTGCAACCTCTGCCTCCCAGGTTCAAGCGACTCTCCTGCCTCAGCATCCCGAGTAACTGGGATTACGGGCACCCACCACCATGCCTGGCTAAAGTTTGTATTTTCAGTAGAGATGGGGTTTCACCGTGTTGGCCAGGCTGGTCTAGAAGTGACCTCAGGTGATCCACCCACCTTGGCCTCACAAAGTGCTAAGATTTCAGGTGTGAGCCACCATCCCTGGCCAAATTCAGTAAACTTTTACATTAGAAATATATTTCTTTTTAATCAACAAATAATAATTGTCTCAGTGAAATGTCATGGCAAACTTTCCACATCCCAGGCTGTGGGTGGGTCCCTTTCTAGAGCTGAGTCTCTGGGAAAGACTTCCAGGAGCGGGTGGAGGAACACGGTCTTCCTGTGGATCTTAGCAGAGACATTCAGATCACCTGCAGGGATGGTTAGTGTGTGCTGGGCCTTCACCAGGGAGCACAACCTCCCGAGTAGCTGGGACTACAGGCACATGCCACCACACCTGGCTAATTTTTGTATTTTTAGTAGAGACGGGTTTCACCATGTTGGCCAAGCTAGTTTGGAACTTTTAATCTCAAGTGACGAACCTGCCTCGGCCTCCCAAAGTGTTGGGAGCACAGGCGTGAGCCACCGCGCCCGGCCCCTTTGCTCTTCTGTCTTCCGCCGTGATTGTGAGGCTTCCCCAGCCAAGTAACTGTGAGTCCGTTAAACCTCTTTCCTTTATAAAGTACCCAGTCTCAGGTGTGTCTTTATTAGTAGTGTGAAAAGAGACTAATACACCATGTCATTTAATGAGACCGGGCCTGCCTCTTTCTGCTGGAATGACTCTCCCCCAAGTGAGGGCCTCTGGTCACTTCTGCCATCACACTCGCCTTTGGAGTGACATCTCCTGCTGGGCCTTCACCAGGGAGCACAACCTCCCGAGTAGCTGGGACTACAGGCACATGCCACCACACCTGGCTAATTTTTGTATTTTTACAAAATTAAAATTTGGGGGTCCTGAGCAGGGTTGTGGGGGTAGGCATTGGAGAGGGATGAGCCCCAGCTCTGTTCTTCCCCACCCACTGCAATCTGGGTGGGGCCATGAGGAGGGCACCCAGCAGGCTGTCAAGGGCAGGAGGTGGACTGCAATCTGGGCCCAGAACCCGGCTGTCCCCCGGGGAGCCACAGCAGGCACCTCGGAGTTTGCATGTATCAGAGATGGCCGGGGGTCTGCCCACGTGGTAAGAATGGCTTCTGAGCTCCCAGGGCCTGTGCTAGAGCCTTGGCTGCCACAGAAGGCCACGCACGCCCCTCACACCCTAGCCTGTGCTGCTGGGAAGGCTATCCCTCCTAAACAGTTACCTGTTTCTGTGTAACCTACAGGGATTCCGTCTTTGCTTTGGCTCCCAGGGAACTCAAAGCTAAGTTTTTTTTTGCTCAAATTCCTAGGCCCCTGGTGTGGATATCTCCTTACTTCCTTACTGTGGTTTCTGAGCCACCCCTCAAACTTCCTCTGGAACTGTCCTAGTGCAGGCTCCGTCCTGCAGCATCCGTGGCAATGTTTCATCACAAGGTTGGACCACAATGTATTCATCATTTCACTGTTGCTGGACCCTTGGGCAGTTTCTGGGTTGGGGTCCCTGTGAACAGAGCTAATCAGAAAAGGCCTGTCCATGGCTCTTGGTGGACGTAGCCTCATTTCATGCATGTGACTCCAGAGTGGGGCTGCGGGGTCCCACGGTGTGCATGTGTTTCTGTGGGAGATTCTCGCCAAATGTCTCTCCAGCGTGCCCGATGCGTCATGATGCGCTCCCTACAGCCTCACGTGAGTTCTCTCGGCACCTCGCGTTCTCCAGCACACAGTGTGGCCGGACCTCTCCACGCTGGCCATTCAGGCGGGCGTGTAGCGGTGTCATTTCCTTCCTGAGGCGCCTGCGGGAATCCCTTTCGGTGGACACACGCAGAGTGGGCTGACGCCTGCAGGAGGTCCCGTGTGAATCCCTGGAGAGTGTCGCGTTAGCGCAGCCGCATCGCTAAGCGGGGGCCGAGCTTTTCTTGGAATGAGGGCTCTACGCGTCAGACCCTAAACAACACAGCGGGGGCAGCCTGGCCCATGAGCAGGGGGCACCATGAAGCTGGGTGGGCGGTGGGGAGGCCTGACTGTCAGGGAGCTGCTTCCCCACAAACAGGCCAGGACGGAGGCTGCAGGTGTGGGTGCTGCCCTGCCACTGTGATGGTGAATATGGGGTGTCAGCTTGATTGGATTGAAGGAGGCCTGGTTGGCTGGGCTGGTAAAGTGTCTGTGAGGGTGTTGCCAGAGGAGACTGACATTTGAGTCGGTGGACGGGGAGAGGGAGTCCCAGCCTCTGTGTGGGTGGGCACCATCCCATCGGCTGCCCGCACGGCTGGAACAAAGCAGGTGAAAGGCGGTGGAGACTTGGTTTGCTGGGTCTTCTGGCATTCATCCGCCTCCCGTGCTGGATGCTTCCTGCTCTTGGACATCAGACTCCAGGTTCTCCGACCTCTGGACTCCGGGACTTGCACCAGTGTTTTGCTGGGGGCGCTCAGGCAGTGCTGGCTTCCCTGCTTTTGAGGCTTTGGGACTCGGACTGAGTCACTACCAGCTTCTCTCTTCCCCAGCTTGCATACGGCCTATCATGGACCCGCCTTGTGACGGTGTGAGCCAGTTCTCCTAAAGAACCCCCTTCATAGAGACATCCGTCCTGTGAGTCCTGCCTCAGACAGCGGCGGAGGGCTCCAGGCAGGCCCCTCACCCATCCCTCAGCTTCAGCTTCTTTGCCCGTTGGGCAGAACATGGGGGTCACCACCTAGGATAGCAAGTCCCCATCTGTGTCACCGCCACCTGTCAAAAAGATCCCCCAGCCTAGCACTCAGGTCTGTGAGTGGTGGTGGAGATGACACTAGGCTCTGAAATAGTGGGGCTGAGTGACTCCGGCATCCCCAGGACCAGCAGGGGCACACTGAGTCCTGGGAGAGAACAGCCCCACCTCTCTGCACCCCTGCTTTCTCCTGGGCCACTGGGCTAGACATGGGGCTTCTCCACCCCCATGTGGTTTGGCCTGAGAAGGAGAGGAGGTGGGGTGGCACTTCTGGGGTGGTTGGAATGAGTGCTCTGCCCCGAGCCCAGCCTGTGCCCCTGGGTGAGGGTGCATGCAGAACTCTGGAGGGTCTGGCCGTCGTAGTGCACATTGGGAGGGGCGGAGTCAGCTCTTTAAAATCTAAACACATACCAGGTGCTTAACATGTTTTTATCAAAATATTGTGAACAGCTGCAAGAGGCTCCTGGGCTTCGAGGCGCTGTGCCCAGGTCCATCCCTCTGCCAAAGCCTTTTAGGTGAGCCCTGCCGGCCACCTGCTGGCCCAGGCCCCAGCTCCTGGTGGGCCCTGGCCCAGGCTGCAGGCAGTTCCAAGCGCACGCGGCAAGGCAGGCAGGGCCCCCCGCACCAGCTCTGAGCCTCCATTTGGTCAGCTGTAAAGATGGGGCGGAGGCACCCACTCCCCAGCTGCCGTGAAAACCAAATGAGCAGAAGTGTGACAGCCCCTCACCAGGTCCCCAGGGGGAGGACTCTCTGTGACTGGCACTGCCAGGAGTGGTGTTCTAATAGGAGTGTCCCATCGGCCTGGAGGGGACACGGGCTGGGTCTGCACCCACAGGAGCTTCCCTTTCTCTGTCTCAGAGTCCAGGGTGGCCCCTTGCCACTGGTTCCCGGGCACAGCCACAGAGATGTGTCTGCAGGGTCTGCATGTCAGCTGTCCAGGGCCTGCTTGGCCGCTGAGGGCCAGGAGTACAGCGCTCTGAGCTTAGTGGCCTGGCTGGGTGTAGCCTTGAGGTTCTCTGGAGAGCCCCATGGGGAAAGCCGCTTGGAGTGTTTGGGCACTGGACCTGCCCACCGTCTCCCGAGATGAAGCCTGTTCTCCAGGCAGTGAGGCTCATGTGAGTTCTGATGAGGCCAGGGTCAGCTTGAGGACCTGCGGGGAGTGGCCCGCCCACCCATCCCTCTGTCCGTCCATCTGCCTGTCTGTCTCTGTCTACCTCGATGCAGTTCCTGCCATCTACCCATCCCTCTGTCCCCTGTCCATCCCTGTCCATTCTTCCACCTGTCCACCCCGATGCAGGGCCTGCCATCCACCCTTCTCTGTCTGTCCCCATCCATCCGTCCATCTGTCCACTCATCCATCCACCAACCCATCTGTCCATCTCGTCCACCCACCTACCCATCCATGTGTCCATCCATCCGTCCGTCCCCAGCCATCCATTCATCCTTCCAACCATCCATCTGTCCATCCCCATCCACCTGTCCAGCCACCATCCCGGCGAGCACCCGCCCTGGCCACCACCTGCATCATTTCGGTGAATCTCCACTGTAGCCCTAGGATGGGTGCTTTCCAGCCCCGCTTTCAGGATGAGCGAAGGGAGGCTCCGAGTGGCTATTTGGCCACGGTCACACAGAGGTCAGGGCCAGCCCTTCCCATGGCCGAAGCCCAGGCCCCTCCACCAGCCCCGCCTCCCCGTGTGCAGGTGGAGCAGCCAGGCTGTGGGAGCCCACGTCCTCGAGTCATTGAAATTAGGGAGGCCTGGCTCTCAAAGCTTCCTGTAAACAAAAAAGGAGAAAAAGAGAAGCCACTTTTGCTGTCAGGACATCCTGTGGGCGTCCTGGGGGATGTGATGGCCAATTGCTTGGGGCTTGACTTGGGGTGCCCAGGAGCTGCGTCCACGCTGCGGCCCTGAACCGGGTGTCATGCTCTGTGGGCAGAGCCACCCATTCTGTGGGTGCTCCTCCCTGCCAGCCTCCATTCTGGAAGTTCCAACTGGATCCCCCAGGCCTGTGTCCCAGAGACCCTCCAGGTCTTCGTTCATTTGGCATGCGTTTATTCAGGGGGTAGGACACGCCCTGGAGACCACAGGGCGGGGATCTCTGAGTTGGGGCTTGTGGAGGGAGGAAGGTGAGAGGGTGTTCCAGGCAGAGGAGGTGGTCGGGAAAGGCCCCCCGGTGAGGCAGGGGCAGGTGCTGGGGGGTGAGGAGGGGGCTGCTGATGTGTAAGCAGGGGTCAGTCCAGGGCCCCCTGTGGGCCACATTAGAGAGACTGGGTCTGGCCTGGTTGCTAGTGGGGCCCCTTGGGGTGATGGGTTCCCCGACAGGCCTCCGGGACCCCAGCTGCTGGTTTGGCACCACCCCGGCTTCTGTGAGCTTTTGCTTCCATTCCTGGCGCCTGTGGCTCTTCCTAGGCCCCTGCCCCGGAGCACCGGTGCCCACTTCGCCAAAGCACAGAGGGCTGCAGGTGGCCAGGGCAGGGTGGGGGCCTTGCTGCATAGGGTTCACCTTCTGGCCAGAAACAGGGCTGGCCCGATCTGGGTGTTGGCCTGTGTGGCGTGGCCAGCATGCTCTCACCTCTCGGTCTGGATGTAGGAGAGGGTGCTCCATCCAGGGAGTTAGTCTCCAGAAGGCAACTCTCTGTATCAGTACTGCAGCCTAGGTGCCCGGGGTCTCAAGCAGTGGGGCCTCCCCCAAGGAGGTGAAGTACATGTGGCCCCTTGTGCTGGAGCTGGGCTCTAGGGAGGACCAGAAGGGTAAAGTCAGGCCAGGGTACCAAGGTCTTGAGCCCCAGGGGCCTGCCTGTCTGCCCATCACCCCTCCACTCATGGGGAGGGACTGCCCCCCAGCCCACATTTCTAGGAGGGCCGGGGCTCACAGGAAGCCGATGCTGGGTGATGACCCACAGTCCCCAGTGGTTAGGAGGAAGGAGGCTGCCCGTTTGTCCACCCAGGTAGTTGGCTGACTGCTCCTGTGCCCACTAAGAGCCAAGGCCATGAGGCCACCAACGGAATGTCCCTGATTTCAGGGATCTCAGTGTGGAGTGGGCAGCACACAGGTAACCAGATAATTCTAGAGATTGATGAGTGCTGTGATGGGGTCCACACAGTTGCCATGGAGTGCAGAGTGGGCACCTAACTGAGGAGGTGAGGGTTGGAGGAAGGCTTCAGGGAAGACAAGGAGATGACTTGTTCTTGGGGAATGAGTCTCAGGTAGCCGAAGCTTTAGGGCCGGGCAGTAGACTCAGAGACGCCCTCAGGGCAGGGGGAAGTGACGCGTGCCTGGTGTGGGAATGGGGAGACACTGGAGAATGGTGGGGAGCGTGGCAGCCGGGCGCGCCTTGCCCCTTCCGAGGGGACAGCTGCCACATCACACCCTGCGGCACACCGCTGCCCATGGTTTGTCACCCATACTGGGCTCTTTCAGATTTTCTCAAGAAGCCAGATTTCCAGCTTCTGGTTTTGAAAAGCTCTGGTTTTGTGCACTTGCGGGGCCTTATGTATACGTGAATCGGGTGAAGACAGGCAGTGGTAGCGCTTGCCCCACACTCCAGCCAGGGCCGGGGATTCGAGGGGCCACATCTGCCACGTGAGGGAGTCTCTGGAGACCGCCAAGCATCACCACCAGTCCCTCTCACCTCGTCCCACGTCTGCCCTCGGCCTCAGTCACTGCGGCAGTGAGGACCGTGCAGGAAATAGCTGGTACCATGGTGTCAGTTCTGGTTGACAGGGTGCCACCTGGCTAAACCTAGTCGTAAATAAGCCCCGTTTCCTCCCTGTGGACCGAGACTGGCAGGTGCCAAGGTTCACGGCAAAAGCCCTTCCCCGCCAGGCTCCAGCTTAGGAGCCTAAAGCCTTGCCCAGGCCCCCTGCCCTCTGGCTGGCTGGCTGGCACACACCCTTGCCTCAGCCCTGGCCCCCGGGTCCTGTTGACCATCAGGTGGCAGATCCCAAGGAATGCAGGCATCTGGGTGGCCCCATGCAGAGCACCAGCCATGGGGAGGCTGTGAGCTGCCAGGCCCACGTGCACTCCCTGCATGCACCTTTCCTCTTCTCCAGGTCCCCGTCGGTCTCCATGCAGGCTGCCCCTCCACTGCCTCTTCTTAGCACCCTGACTCCATCTGGGGGTGGCTGGGAGGGGAGACCCCCTGCCCCCAGGCCTCCAGGTCTGGCCAGAGCCAACCAGCCTATCTGAGACCCCCAGATGCAGGCTATGCCCATGTGCCCATGGAGGAATCACTAATGTGAGCCCAGATTTCCATTCTTGTGGGAGGGAGACCAACTGGGTTGAAACCCCAGCTTCGCTGCCTCTGGCTGTGACTTTGGGCATAGCCCTTCTTCTCTGGGGTCTGTCTGTCTCCTTATCTCAGAGAAACGGATCGCAGTACGCACCCCACGGCATGCTGTGCAGAGCACGTGGAGATGCCACCCACAGCTGGCCTGCTGCAGAGTTGCGGGCCGATTGGGGTATCGCTGATGTGGTGGCGGCCGTGCGTGTCTAGCTAGAGCAGTCTCGCCTGCACCCCAGGGCCTGCCCGCTGGCTGGTGAGAGCTCTGGGTTGCAGGCAGCAGGCAAGGCCTATTTCCAGTGAGTCTGGGGCTCTTGGGGGTGTGTGAGACCTTGGGCAAGGCCCTTCTGTGCCTCAGTTTACCCACCAGGGCTCAGAGCCCAGTGAGTGCCTCCTTCTGCAAGGAGAGACTCTTGTACTTACTAGCTAGAGGACAGGTCAGCAGGGGCAGGCTCTGGGTACCACCTACTGGAAGGAAAGGGGGTTCAGTTAGGCAGCCCTGCCCTCACAATGGAAGAAAATTGGGGTTCAGCTAGCCCAGCCCTGCCCTCACCCCAGCTCTTCACATATCCACATGGTGGTGGGGGCGGTCAAACCACCAGGAGACTATAGGGACCCAAGGCTGAGGGCAGGAGATGGTGCGGCCCTCTCCTATCTCTGGGTTGCTCCCGCCCACACATGTGCACTCAGGGAAGGTGTATCTCTCGGCTGGGGGCACAGGACCCCACCTCACTCTTAGCTGAGACGTCCTTGACAGGCCTCCTGGACAGGTGGGGCAGGGCAGGCGTGGCCAGCTGCAGCCCCTGGGAGGGCACTGGGGCTGGGGCCAGGCCGGGGCAGGACAGAGTTGGGGAATCCAGGCCTCTCAACATTGCCCTGGCTGTCTTTTTGTATGAAGTGCCACCTGGGGGCTGCAGCCTGGCCGGACATCTGCAGTGTCCTCGTGCCCAGCCTCTATGGGTGTCTGGCTCACCCTAGGTGAGGGGAAGGCGGGCCTGGGTAGTTTGGGCTGGGCAGGCTCAACCAGGGTGCACAATTTTCCCAGTCACACACAGATGCTATGGAAAGGGGCTCCGGGGGATGGGTCATCTCCTTCCACCCTACTCCTCCTGGGGTGGCCAGATGGCCAGATAGATGGGGGACCAGCATGTGGTCCCCCCAAGCCGGCCACTGCTCTGCTCTGGGCTGGGCCAGTGGGAAAGGGAGCATGGCACCTCCAAGGGAGGGCCCAGTCGGGGAAGTATGTCCCCATCCCTGCTCTTGGCCAGAGGGCTGAGGGCCCCAGAGAGGCCCAGGGTGAGGACTCCTTCAGGCCTGGGTTTTTATTTGGATGTTTTTTTTTCTGCCAATGGCTTTACGGTAGCCCAAGGAGCTCCCGCATGTGTGAGAGGGGCGTGGGGAGGCAAGTCTCCAGGATGGGAGCCTCCCTGCGGTCCTCGCCATGGGGCTGGCATGTGGCCCAACCCTCCGGTCCCTCCAGACTGCCCTTCCCACCTGGACCCAGCTGGCCTCCATGGCAGGAGGTGCCCTGGGCTAGAGGGCCCTCAGGCTGGGCTCCGAGGCTCCAGGCTGACTCGCAGCAGTCCTCAGGCCTGTGGGCAGAGCCGGCTTGGGGGGACATGGGCCTGAGGCTGAGCAGTCCCCGAGTGAGGTGAGGCAGCTGAGGCTGGAGCCTGCGTCCCCAGCACCTGCTGAGGCCCGGGCCTGGAGTGCTGGCTCAGGCGCCATGTGATCTCTGCAGGCAGCCACCAGGTCAGGATCCTGTGTCCCTCTTGGGTCAGAGGCCTCGGCTGGATGCACAGGCTCCATGGAAGGAGCTCCTAGCTCGGGTTTCTTTGTAATCAGCAGGACACGGCACCTTTCTAGAGGTACCTGGGTCTGGACATGTCACACCCCCGAAGCACTTCCAGAACCTAGGCCCAGTGTTAGCCCAGGGAACGGAGGGGTCGGAGCAACCTGCCTAAGATCTGTGGCCATGTCCACCCCCCGGCCCCCTCACCCCCAACCCCACCCCCACTCTGTTAGGAGGTCACTGATCCTCGAGCATCTGCCAGGAGCCCAGCTCAGGCCAGGTCATGGGCGGTATGTGAGTTGTTCTCCCCCCATCACTGGGCCCCATCAAGCTGCTGTCCTGAGGGTGGCTGTGCTGAGCCAGCACGTGGACAGCAGGGAACCCCATGGGCACAGGCCTAGTGTCTGCTGCGATGCTGCAGGCATCTAATAATCAGCCTTCAGAGAAGCTGCCGTGTGCAGGTGGAGGCAGGCCTCCCAGCCACATCCTCCCGGCACTTGCCAGGGCCAGGCTCAGGTGAACACCCTTCTAGAAACCACCCCCCAGGCTCCAGGGATCTTGGGCTCCTGGGGTTCCGACGGAGGCGGCCCCATGCCTGGCCTTGCCACCTCCACCTCATGAATCAGCGGCCTCTTTGTTCTGCAAGTCTGTCAGCACAGCCGAGCTGACGTCACCCTCTGAGGCCAATGCTCGGATCCCTGAATTCACTGGGCAGCTGCCCCCAGCACCTGGCTCTCAGCTACCGCCTTTCTAAAGCAACTGGGGACAGGGAACATGGCCCTCCACTGGCAGGCAGCCATTGCGGCCTCCCGTTGTGAAAGCCTCTTCCCCACCCTGCCCCTGCCCGTGACCCTGCAGGGCGGGGAGGGGGTGGACGGGCCACCCGCTGGGAGCCCCAGGCAGGGCAGGACCCTCAAGAGCCCCTCCGGGAGAGGCCACCATCTCCCCTTGGTCAGTGTTGCCCAGGAGGCGGTGCTGGCCTGCATGTGCCCTGGAGATAGTGGCAGGGAGACCGCCCTCATGAGGCTTGTTTGCTGGGGTCTGGCCACCATTTCCTTGGATTGAGACTGTCCCTGTGAAGCTGGTCAGGCACAGAACCGCCTTGTTTTCTCTCTCTCACTCATTCCCTGCATTCAACTCACAGGGCATGAGAGGGAGGAATCACTGATGATGGGCGCCGCCCGGCCCAGCTGGGGGCCTTTGTTCATTTGGTGGCGTGGGGTGGGGTGGTCTGGGGTGGGGGGCACATTCTGCATGCTCAGGAGAGACAGCAACTCGCCCAGTGGAAGGAACATAGATTGGAGATGGGGACAAGTGGGTAGGGTCTTGCAGCATGAGTAGGAGTCTGCAGGTGGCGCAGGTTTCAAGAGCATTCTAGGGCATAGCATGGGCAGTGGCAGGGAGAGCTAGGACGTCTGGAGTGGCAGCCCAGGCAGAGTGGCTGGCATGGGAAGGGAGGTCCGCAGGTAAGGCCCAGGCAGGATGGACTTGTCAGCCATGCTGAGGAACTGGGCTATGACGTGGACAGCAGGGAGCCACCGCCGTTTACAGGGGAGGCGGGAGCAGGTGAGCATTTGGGGAAGCTACTCTGGCTGCAAAAGGGATGAGAGGGGGCCAGGCTGGATGGATAAGCCAGTGGAGGGGGAGGAGGAAGGGGAAGGGAACAGGCTTTAGCAGCCCTACTGTCCCTGAGGGGCCCGGGTCACCCTGTGGGGCCTGAGGAAGCCATGCTAGCTCCAGGCCGGCCTCCTGATCATTCTGCCACACACTTCACTGCCGCGTCCCTCCACTTCCCCCTCCGAAACAGACAGTAGGACCCACCTGCAGGGTGCTGCGCAAGGATGGGGGAGGTATCTGGAGGGCACCCCACACCAGAAGCAGGTCCTCAGCCGGAGACACCCAAATGCAGCCCGAGAGAGGCTGCACCCAGGACAGGAGAGGAGAGCCCACGGCCGCTCCGCAGGCACCTGGGGGCATCTCCCACTGCCTCCACCTCCCAGCTGGGCCCCGAGGGCCGGGCACTCTGGCTTGGAGAGGAAGCCGCCCTGCAAAGGCCTGGTGTCTCCACGCCATTCTCAGGAGGACAGCAGCAAGGACAATGGATGGGAGTGGTGCTCGCTTTCATGTCCGTTTCTGGAAGCGTCCCCACTCAGTTCTGCCCGCCCCCTCTCCCATCAGTGCCGTGACTCCAGGCCCTTTTCTTTCCTTCCCAGCAGTGATGAGAACCATGAGTGTGGAACTGGCCTGTGAAGCCCGGAGGGCAGAGGGTGGAGGTGGGATGGGGGCAGGAGCCAGCACCAGTGTGGGCTGCAGAGTCCCCAGGTGCAGGGGAAATGCCAGGTTCGTGTTCAGTCTCACCCCGTTTCATCTCAGTTTCATCTCAGAGTGGCCCCTGGAGCCAGGCCCCCTGCCACCTTACAGATGAGGAAGCCGAGGCTCAGGGAGGTAAAGAGACCTGCCCTGGGCCACGAAGTTCACTGGGAACACAGCAGGGTGCTCACCTGTGAGGGCCTGGGCTGGGCCTGGGGCAGAAAAGCAGCAGTGCTAGGACCCCCACAGGGAGCAATCAGCAAGGGTCCGTAAGCCAGGGAAGGGCAGAGGGGCTTACACAGGCCCACGTGGCCTGGACACACAACCCTGGGGCAGCCCCAGCCCGAGCGACGCCTCCCTGCCTGGTGAAGACCTGTGCCCTGCACATGGTGTGCTCTCTGTTCGTGTCCCGGGCCTGTCCCCTCCCTCCGTGGGTCTGTCTCCACCCGCCTGCCCTCTCCGCCCTCCTTTTCTGTTTCTTTTCTCACTCCCTGTTTCTGCCTGTCTTGCAGTCCCTCCTGTCCCTGCCCTCCCTCCCTCCATGTGGGTGTCTCTTCCTCCTCCTCCACCAGCTCTGTCCCAGCAGGGCACTGAGGGCAGGAAGGCCTGTGGCCCCTCCCGCTTCACCAGCTCCACTCTGTCCCCACTACCAAGGGCGCACCTTTGCTGGGTTTCTTGGTTCGGCTTTTGTACCATGGCATCTGAGGCCCATAGGTCACAGGGCACTGGCCAGTGTGGTGCAGGGACAACTCCTGCACAGGCCGTTGGACCAGGCAGAGCAGCTTCAGGGGCTTGGGGCCAGCAAGCCAGGAACAGTCCCCTCCCGCCTACCCCAACTCCCTGGGAGCCACAGCCCACAGCAGCGTCACGTCATTAAGACATAAAAGTCCACGATTTCTGCTGCGTGTGGGCAAACACTGGCCGGGTGCTAATGCAATCCTTTCAGTGGATTCTTGAATTTAAATGATACGTAATTAAACATAATTAGCCACAGACACCATTCGGCTAGGTACGTGCACGGAGTGGGGCGGCTGGATTCTCAGTACGAAGCCTCATCTGTGGGAGGGACTCTTGTTCCCTTCTCGGGGCTGGTTTCCTTTGCCCGGACCATAAGCCTGGCTGGGAAGGTGCCCGAGGAGGGGGTCCTGGGGGCCAGTCCCCAGGGGGCTTGGATGAATTGGCAGTGTTTGCTGGAAAAATTTTTGTTCCACTTTGGGCAACAAGGAGCCCAGACCTCTCACCGCCGTGGGGAGAGAAGTTGGGAATCCGATGGGAACTGGCCAAGAGAACTGGTACCAGCAACCTCAGCCCTGGACTCCTTGTGAGTGTGGCTGGGCACACACAGTGGCAGCGAGCAGGCTTCCGAGCTCATCTTCCCAGACTCCAGGGGGAGCCCAGGCTATGCACACAGGCCAGGCAGAGGTGAGCCCAGGGAGGCGTGGCACCACAGGTACAGAGGGCGAGGGGGCAGAGCCTGCAGGCGCCCTCCCTAGTGCCAGGCCTGCTGGGACTCCAGGCTGTTGGGACATCCCCTAGGATCCTGCTTGGAGCCTTCCTGACCCCCCCCCCCCACCAACTCCAGTGCCTATGGTGGGCTCACCCTGTCCCCACACACCTCACCCTGTCCTCACTGTACCCCACACACCAGGGTCTGTCCATCCGCCTGCCTATCCCCACCACCCAGCCTGTGTGCCCAGGGGACGGCTCAAGGCCGGTCACAAACCACCTCCCTGGCCGACCCAGCCCCAGCCCACAGTGCATTCCCCAAACAGCATTGCTGAGCTCCCGATTTTAGCCACAACAGCGCCCATGCTCACACCAACCAACCTGTCCTTGCCAGGAATGTCGGCTCCTGCCCTCCTGACGGGAGCCCATGGCGCATGCTATTATGACCTCAGTCCAGGGGTGGGGACACCAAAACACAAAGGCCTAAGAAGCTGCCCGAGGCCACGTGGCTGATCTGGTGCTGTCTCTGTCTCAGTCAGGGGCCCGTCCTGCCCACGTACCCTGCCATACCCTCGGCCAGGGCCAGCACAGTCTTAGAGGTAGAGCTGCTGAGGGGAGAAGCGCTTCCCCTCATGGCATCTGTCCTCCAAGAGAGACCTGAGTAAGGGGGGGGGGGCGTCAGCAGCCTTAAGGGGACCTTATACCCCTGCCCATCCTTTGTTCTGTACCAGGGCATGGTATATCTGCACAGCCTGGAGCCTGGCGTGGCTGGCAGCCCCAGGAAACTGGGACCGGCCCTGCCTAGCCGGGAGCAGCCGCACCTCCTGCAGCAGCGGGCGAGCGGAAGCACTGGCCTCCCAAGAGCAAGAACTTGTTCCCAGGAGGGCCTTTCCGGAGACCTGGGGTACAGGGGAGTGGGCAGGCCAGACTAGGGGCCCAGGCCTTTCCTGCAGGGGCCAGGTCCTTACCACGGCAGGCTCTGCAGGCTTCCATTTGGTCTCTTTCGTTATTTTCTTCTTTTTACATCCCTTAAAAAATACAAACAGGCCACAGGTAGGATTGGCCCTCTGGGCTACTTAACAGCATCTGTGAGCATCATATGTGGCTTTTTTTTTTTTTTTTTGAGACAGGGTCTCACTCTGTCACCCAGGCTGGAGTGCAGTGGTATGATCACGGCTCACCACAGCTTCAACCTCCTAGGCTTAGGTAATCCTCCCACCTCAGCCTCCTGAATAGCTGGGACTACAGGCGACTGCCACTACACCCGAATAATTTTTGTATTTTTTTTGTAGAGATGGGGTTTCACCATGTTGCCCAGGCTGGTGTCGACCGCCTGGGCTAAAGCAATCTTCCTGCCTTAGCCTCCCAAGGTACTAGGATTACAGGCGTGAGCTACGTACCACGCCCGGCCCATATGTGGCTTTTTAATTACATCTTTGAGAAATAACATTAGTAAAGTTCTCTAACAGTAAAGAGCAGGATGTTAGCCCAGCCCCGGCCAAGATCTAGAACATTGCTGGCATCCCGTTCACCATTCCATGAGGAAACTGCCATCCCACCCTCTGTCACTAGCCTGGCTTTGCCAGCTCTGGAGCTCTCTGTGAATCGGCCATGCCTTGTGTGTTCCTCACGTGGCCTGGGGCTCCCACGTTGCCGTGCAGCGGGAGCTCACCCCAGGCTGAGCCACTGCGGAGCATTCTAGCGTGCGATTCTGCCACCGTCTGTTTTTCCATCCTCCCACTGGCGGGCATTTGTCCAGTGTTTGACTTCTGCTATTGCAACTAAAGCTGTGTGGAACATTCTAGTATGTGCCTTTGGTGACTGTGCAGATGCATTTCTGCTGAGTACATACCTAGGAGTGGGACTGCAGGTTGCTAGAGGATGTTGGCACGCAGTTTTCCAAAGCGGCCCATACCATAGAAGACCTTGTGACGGTGCCCAGAACAGATTTCAGCACCGATGTGGCATCATGCCCGTCTTCAGTGCCGCCTTTCCTAAAGCGTGGACACACTGTGCCATCACAGAACGCACAGAATGGCATGAACAGAACAAGAGGCCGCTAAAGCCCCGAGAGTGACATGAGCTGTTCTTGCCCGGGGTTCTGATGAAGTGGGAGGGGTGCAGGGAAGGGTGGGAGTGAGGGTGAAGGTGTGGATGAGGGTGCTAGAGTGGGCAAGGGTGCGGGTGAGGGAGCAGGTTTGGGAATGGGTGCAGGTGCTGATGGAGCTGTTGCGGGTGAGGGTGCTGGTGGGGGGGTGAGGGTTGGGGTGTGGGTGAGGATGTGAATGAGGGTTGGGGTGCTGGTAGGGTTGCGGGTACAGTCAAGCGTTCAGGTACAGATGGTGTGGGTGGGGGTGGGGGTGAAGGCGCAGGTGAGGGCGGAGGTGAGGGTTGGGGTGCGGGTGAGGATGTGGGTGCAGGTGGGGGTATGGGTGCAGATGCGGGTGGGGGTACTGGTGAGGGTGCAGGTGAGGGTGGGGGTGAAGGTTTGGGTAAGGGTGAAGTTTCAGGCGAGGGTGAGGTGCAGGTGGGACTGGGGTGTGGCAGAGGGTGAGGGTGCGGGTGGGGGCGAGGGTGAGGGTATGGGTGGAAGTTCGGGTGAGGGCACCACACATTCGTCCCCTTGTTTGGTCCCCAAGGCTCTTAGTTTGGTGTGTGTTCATTCAGGAGCAGTAGAGTGACACCCACTGGTTCTGACAGCTGTGGGTGCCTCTGCTTGGAGTGGGTGCTGTCAGCCACCCTTTGCTGGAAGGAGCAGGAGGGTCCAGCAGTGGTGGAAGCTCTCAAAAGAACCAGGGCTGGGAGTAGAACTCGGTCAGATCCCAGCTCTGCTCTCCCCACTGTGTGACCTTCAGCCAGTCCCTGAACCTTTCTGAGCTGTTTCCTCACCCATTCAAGATGGGGGTGGCCATTTCTTCCTTGGAGGGTATAAGGAAACGAGGGACGTGAGGCCTGAGTGCTGTGCTCGGAGACAGCAGGAGGGGAAGTGGCCGCAGCCCCGTACAAGCGGGTGGCCGAGCAAGTGGGGGCGCTGGAGGAGCTCAGGGGACAGGGTTCCCTTGGGACCCGGACAAGAGCCAAAAGGTGTACCCCCCAGTCACAGGGGAGCCCACACTGCCCTCCCCTCCCAGGGACTGCCCCTGTGGCCCCGTCCAGGTCCACAGCCTCAGCAGTCCCCGAGTGCGGGTCCACGGCCTCAGCGGTCCCCAAGTGCAGGAGGTAGCCTCTAGGCCACTGGGCTGAGAACCCTTAAAAGAAAATGCACCCCTGCCCATGACAGTCATTTTAGGGTGAAGAAAGCCCTTTGCGGAAAGCAAACGCTTTGAAAGGGACAACACAACTTTTAGATGTTGTGAGAACCAACTTCAAGCACGTCCTCTTAGACCAGGGTGGCAGCTTCCAAGGCGGGGCACACAGCTGGGAGGCCACGGTTTCTCTGCTTCTCAGGGAGCTTGGACCAGGCCATAGGGTGATCCGAGCACCACGTCCCTCGGCAGTGGCAGGTTTGCAGATGGGCCGGTCCCTACTTCCTGCGAAGCTCCAGCAGCCCCTCTGTGGATGTAAGGCTGTGGGGAGGGGTCTTCTGGCTCACAGCCCCTAGGATGAGATGCCACTTCCTCAAGTAACTGTCAAGATCCTGGGGTACAGGCTGCGCATGGTGGCTCTCTCCCGTAATCTCAGCACTTTGGGAGTCACTTGAGGTCAGGAGTTTGAGACTAGCCTGGCCAACATGGTGAAATCCTGTCTCTACTAAAAAAACACAAAAGTAGCCCGTAATCCCAGCTACTCACGAGCTGAGGCAGGAGAATCGCTTGAATCCAGGAGGTGGAGGTTGCAGTGAGCCAAGATCGCACCACTGCACTCCAGCCTGGACAACGGTCACACTTGGTCTCAAAAAAAAAAAAAAAAAAAAGGCTCTGGATGTCCCCATTAACTCACCTGACCTCTTCCTGTGGCTGGGGCTCTCCTCTCCCACACACGTCTACCCGTAGCCCCCGCCTGCCTTCAGGACTCAGCCCACAGAGCCTTCCACAAAGTCCCCTGGCAGGGCCCAGAGGCTTCTACGCTGCCTCATGGAATCATTCCTGTGTCCTCAGCATCAGTGAGACCTCGGGAGATGCCTGGGGAGTGGTTGAAGGTTTGGGGAGGTTCCTGCCCCCAGAATCCCAACCAGAGGGCAGCTCACCCAGCAGCCCAGTGCCCCCTCTGTCGGGTGGACAAGGCCTCAAAGTAGGGCAGGCAGGAGCTCCGGGACTCTCCCCCAGCAGTCCCCACAGTGCACATGCCCTGGGCTCCTCCCACTGGGCACTAGGCCAGGCCAGGGATGCAGGGTGAGCCCCCGGGGAGCCCACAGCAGCATACACACGTCCCCACCATCGAAGGCGAGATGCCTGTGCTGGAGACCCAAGGGCGCTGGGCGGCTGTCACTGCGCCACGAGGCTAAGCAAGCTCCCAATGGGAGACAGGTCTGGGGAGGTGTCCAGGTTGAGGGCACAGTCAGGAGGGGCCGTGTGTGCCTGAGTAGGGGACGGGGAAGAGGGGCATGGCCAGTGGTCACGGGTCAGACTGCCTGGCAAGACCTGGAGGTTTCCTCAAGCTGAGGCCAGACCTGTGCTAGATGCTGGGTGGGTGGAGCTGTAGAGGGGTCAACATGGGGGCATGGACTAACCTCCGCCATCCTCTCCAGGCCCAGTGACGAACACCATCCGGAAGTGAAGGCTGATGGGTATGTGGACAACCTCGCAGAGGCTGTGGACCTGCTGCTGCAGCACGTGGACAAGTGACCGGCCTCCTGGGAGAGCCCCACCTCCCCCACCCCTGCCTCTCCCCCACCTGTGCCCCTCCTCCACCCACCCAGGTGCCTAGACCACCCAAGGCCCTGAGAGCCCTGCCTTCTGCCTTCTGTCCTGCGTGGGCAGGCATATGTTCCCTATCCGGGTGGCCTGCTCCCACTTGGGCCCTAACTTCAGCTCCCTGTAGTGAAGTCCAGGAGGGTGGGACAGACCTGTCAGGCCTCTGGGAAGCTCCCAAATCCCCGAACTCACTCACTCACCGTGCACCTGGTCCTTTAACCGCAGTAAACTCCACCTAACTGGACTCAGAGGCACTCGCCCACTGCCTCCTGCTCAGATCTCTGCATTTAAGTGAAGAGCCTGGAATAAACCAGGGCCTCCTGTGCACAGACCTTGCAACCCAGAACCACGTCAGCCTCCCTGCGACTGCCCAAGCACACTACCCACCACCCCAGCCCCGAAATAGCGCCAGCCCACTGCTTTCTATCCCCACAGTCACCTTTGCAGACAGGGACCAGGGGCAGCTCTCGAGGGCACTCTGGAGGCTCCAGTGCCACACAGGAAGAACTGTAGCCTGTGTCCAAGGCACACAGGGTACTTTCTGGAGCCACTGCTGGACAGACTTGAAGGTGTCATGCCTGGCATGTGCAGGAGGAAATTAACAGTTGAATAAACTCTGCCTTGACCAGCAGCCTCTGACTCAGGCTTTGACTGCTAGAAAGAACCAGATGGGGGAGGCCACCAGCAGGGTCTAGGCCACTGTCCCTGTCCTGCCTTATGCTTGAGCCACTGAATATCAGAGGGGCAAGGGACAAAAGTCCTGACACACCTTGCCTGCTCCAACCCCTTCACTTAGCAGATGGGGAAACTGAGGCCCAGAGGGGCCAGGGAGCTGCTCTTGGCCCCATCTGGAACAAGGTAGTCCAGGGCAAACTTTGGCGCTGCCCTTCCTAACGGAGCAGCCTGCAGCCTGGTGGTGGCTGGTGATGAGCTTTGCTCTCCCGACCAAGGGCACAGAGGCCTTCCCACAGGACTCCCGGGAGCAAGTTTCAGGTTTCAGAATCCGTCAGCTGAGCAGGAAACTCGACTGCTCCAATTCTCCCCAAATCAGTTCAGAAGCGACTGCTAACCCTTGGGAGACCGCTGCTTCTGAGCGAAGCCAGGGGTCCCCGTAACAGGATTTCCATTACATGAAGACAGACAATGAGAAAGTGTGGGACCCGAGTGGGGGCGAGGGCAGCGTTAAGAAGACCGGCCACCGTTCAGTCAGAATCAGGGGAAACGGTGACAGTCTTTTCATCAAAACGAGAGGCCACCAGCCGGGCCAGTGTTACTTACTGGATCTGAGGGAGGGCCATTTGGCCCCTTCGTTGAGAACACGGAGATGGCTGGCCCCTCGATGGAGTCCCCGATTACAGCTCCTTAGGAGACCACACAGGACATTCAGGTGGCGGCTGCAGTTCGGTGGCGGCCTGGAGGGGCTGCGCCTACTGTTGGGTTCGTTTGTGGGTCTTTAGTTGTTTTCTCCTTTTATGTTTCATGGGGAAGCTTCCAACCAAGACAGCGACCCCTCTGGAGGAAGTTCAAGCTGAGGCCTCCTCTTTCTAGTGGCTGCCCAGGGAGTGGGGTGCCGACCCCTACTCTGTCTGGGCAGGGAGCATGCCACCCTCTGGGCTGCGGTGGGCTCAGTGAAGCGGATGCTGTCATTCTTCCCATTGCACAGGTCTGGAGCCTGGGGTGCAGTGAGCGAGGGACTCGCTGAGGCCAACAGTTAGTGACGGGCGGGGCTGCGACTGGCAGGAAGGTCCAGCCCCGCCTCCCAGGCCCTTCTGAGCACCTTCAGCAGTGCTGCTTCCCACGCTTGCCTGGAATCCTCCCTCGGGCTGTGGTGACCCCTGTGGCTGACTTTCTGGCTGGGCCAGGACACCGGTGTCCTCGCTCTAGAGATGGGCTCTTCTGAGGGGTGAGGTCCAGCCCCACCAGCGGTGGTCTTGTAACCCCTACTACTACCATGTCTACAAAATACGGGGATTCACTTCCTTAGCAGGCACTTCCTGACCCCACAGGGTGCCTGTCCCCTGGCTGGAGCTGATAAGGCGTGCCCTGATGCTTTTCAGGGTTTGGTGCTGCCCAGAAGTGAGGGTCCTTCCAGCAGTCTGGCCATTTCCAGCATGTGGAGGGGGCCCGGGCCCTGGCAGAGGCGGTGTGCAGCCGCCGGCCGCATGTGGAGCTGCAGCTCGGGGCTGGCTGTGGGCTAAGGCCGAGTTCGGCACGTGTATGAACCGCTGTGAAAAGACTCTCAACACCCAGGGCCACAGGCCAGGGGGGCTCCCAAGAGCCTTTCCTACCAAGGCCCCAAGTTAGCCTCCCAGACTCCCGAGCTGCCAGGCCCAACCACTGAGAGTAGCAGCAGGGTGGGGAATGGAGGGGGGCAGAGAGCAGCACCCCTCTCCGGGGCCTCACCCACCCTCACCCCTTCCAGCTCTAGGGCCCACACAGTACTGAGCCCAGCTCAGTGTGCTGCTTACGAACACTGCAAGTGGCTCAGTCTGACGAGAGATCTGGTCGTCTCAGGAGTTAAGAGTCCCAAGCGCCGTCACAGGAACCCCATCTCTTCCCATCGCAGCTACCTGGCGGGTGGCAGAATGGCCCCACCCCCCCAGACTTCCTCCTCCCTGTTCAGCAACCCCAGGACTCAGACTGGCAAAGAGACCAAGCGGACCAGGAACAGGGGCACAGTCTCCATCCCAACCAAACCCCAACCACAGAAGACAGCACGTGGTGCCAGGCGGAGGACCGAGGCCAGCGAATGCCACTTCCTCAAATGCCTGTCAGGACTCGGCTGTGGGCTGGGCACAGTGGCTCTCTTCTGTAATCCCAGCACTTTGGGAGGCTGAGGCAGGTGGATCACTTGAGGTCAGGAGTTCGAGACCAGCCTGGCCAAATGGCAAAATCCTGTCTCTACTAAAAAAAACACCAAAAAAGTTAGCCAGGCATGGTGGCGGGCGCCTGTAATCCCAGCTACTAACAAGCTGAGGCAGGAGAATCGCTTAAACCCAAGAGGCAGAGGTTGCAGTGAGCCAAGATTGCACCACTGCACTCCAGCCTGAGCAACAGAGCGACACTTGGTCTCAAAAAAAAAAAAAGGTGGGGGTGGGGGGAGCTCTGGGACGAGGAGGGAATGTCCATGTCCTCATCTCGCTGACATGAGGCTGGGAACTGGGCCAAGTGAGGCAGAGGCGTCCACATCAGATGTGAGCGCCCCTGGGCAGCTGACTTCAGTTCTTTTCTCCTTCCGTTCAGCTTGAGCCCTTGGAAAGGCTGAGGCCTGACCTGGAGCCACCGTCCTGGGCCTGTCCTGCTGGGTGGTGGTTCCTGCCCCTCTCAGCGGGGCCGTCCAGCAGCTGGCAAGGCTCCTGTATGTTCACTCAGGGCACAGGTGGGGACAAGGTGGGACGGACGAGTGTGGCACAGCTCTCGGGCAGGTGCTCTGGAGTCTGCCTCCCGACCCAGAGTGGTGCCAGTAGCTCCAGCTGCCCCTCAGAACTGTCCTGGTGTAGGCGGTGACCACACGGGGCAGCCTGCATTTAGTTCTGATTTTTGGTTTTTGGGTGTTTTTTTTTTAAACATTATATAAGCAGCATGTGTTATTATAGGATATTTAACAGAAAAGTCTACAGAAAGAAACCAAGAGTCACACGGGAGCCTGAGCACTGTCTCTGTGGCATTTCCTCCTGCCTTCTTTCCTACGGCCCTCTCCCTGCACACTGGACAGAGTGGCCATCCAGGGTGGCCGCGGGGTTCACACTGATTCTCTCGTGAGCCCACAGGGTTATGATCACCGTGCAGATAAGGAGACTCCATGCGTGTCCCATGTCAGAAGCACCTGCTTCTGGCCTGGGCACTGCACTGGGGTGAGGCCTAGGGCCAGGCCCCATGGCAGGGCAGAATGGAGCTGCCACCCAGCCAGGGACCTCATCTGGGGATGGGGGTCGGCAAGGGGCTGACAAGGGCCAGAGGTTCTTCCAGAGCCACTCTGTGCCCTACCCTCTGGTAGGGGCACTGTGCTTGGTAGAAGCCCCCCTCCGGCCTCTGCCCTGCCTCATCCATCAGATACAAGGCAGGGGTGAGGGTGGGCTGGGGAAGTCGATGCGTCCAGCCTCGGACCAGTGAGTCCCTGGGCCTTGGGTGCAGCAGGGCCGCGGGGACAGGAGTGAGGATGAGGGGCTCACCTCTCCCAGCGGCCCTGCTTCCCCTGTTTCTTGAGTTCAGTGTCCATAAACCTTTTTTTTTTTTTTTTTTTAAGGATCTTGCTAAAAGGAAAAACAAATCAAAAGAGGGGAGCGAGATTCCCAGAGGGGCTGCCCTGGCCCTCACAAGTGTTCTAGGCCAGGCTTCCACGGGCAGATCGTGTGGGCAAGTGTTGAGTTACAGAAACCGAAACTCTCCACGCCTGCCCTCCAGGCCGCAAGGACCCCAACTCCCGAGTTGGGGAAAGCAGAGGGCCACGCATGGGGACAGTGAGCCACGCTGGGCTGGGCTTCGTGCTTCTGGGGCCCCCGCAATTCATGCAGCAGAAGTCCGCACTGTGCTGCCTGCTGCGGGGGCAGAAGCCTGGAGCTGATCTTTGTGCGCCTCCTCCGCTACCCCAGTGGGTGGGGTGGTAGGGGCCATCCCAGGCCCCTCAGGGCTCTAGGCCAGGCTGGGCACGGCTCAGCACCCTATAGTGCGGCCCTGCCTCCTGGCACTGACGAAGGCTGAGCTGATGTGCTCAAAAGGGCAGACTCCTCCACTGCTCCTAGCTCAAATGAGATACAAACCCCGCTGCTGTCCTGGGGGTTCCGGCTGGAGCCAGAACAGCCCAGCCCTGGAAGGCTCCCATGACATAACAGTGGCCACGGTCAGCCTTCCCCCTTCCCCGGCTGCTCCCACACCGTCCTGCGCCTGAGCCTCTCCACAGTTCTGTGACGTCTGCTAGCCCCATTTTACCGATTCAGACCCCAAGGCTTGGAGGGGACAGAAGGGTCCAATCGTGTCCCTCCCAGCCCAGAGCTAATGCTCCTGCGGGCGGAGGGGGGAACCTGCCAGTTCACCACACCCAACAGAAACCACACAGCTGGCACCAGACACATGGGGACTGAACCAGGAAGCTTTATTTACACAGTAAAAGTAACAAGCAAATTCCTGAGAGACTAGAGCGGCTGGAGTGCAAGCCACGGCCTGTGCGCGGAGGCCAGGCCGAGGGGGCGGCAGGCCTGGGCCCCGGGTCTCTGCTTTCTGCCCGCCACACTTCCTGAAGCTCTGCAACACCCACACCGTCCAGCTCGGGAAGCTCCCGAACCCCGAGACAGCCTCTGTGCTATCTGTCGTCCGACCCTCCAGGACAGCTTCCCCACGCGTGAAAACACAAATCATTTGCCAAAAAGACTACGCTAGAAGGTCAGACTATCCTACCTAGGCTAAAAGATCTCCATTCGGTCTGCCATTAAAAAAAAAAAAAAAAATCTTTCTCTTCTTTTCTCTTTAAAGAGGCATGACAAAGGGGTTTGACCAACAGCGTGGACATGGCAAGGTGTGGCATCGTTGCCAGCGTGGGGCCAGGTGCCTCAGCCCCGGTGCGCAGCCAGCCTGCTGCCTCCCTGCCGGCCGGCGTCTAGAGTGGCCATGATTCAAGCAACCACCCCCGCAGCCACCGACGGCACATCAGCGGAAACGGGGGTGCAGTGGGCGTGACACCAAGGCTGAGCCCGCAGCGGGGGGCCAGGGGTTCCGCAGCTGGGGAAGCTTGCTCAGACAGGCAGCACAGCTAGGGCGCGGCCACTCACGCCCCCACGCCAGGAGACCCATTTGGAAGTTGGGGTTGGTTTTCTTCTTAATATGGACTTCCCCTTTAAATTTTCTTTCAGTGTACAAATTCACAAAACTGGCTACAAAAGATCTGTTGAAACGTAAGGCTTTCTGAGGATGAAAATCTGTACGTCTGGTCAGAACAAGCTCCCTGTGGGCCCGTGGCCCAGGGCAGCTCCGGCCTCCACCGCGAGTAAGGCAAGAGGGTGTGGCGATGAAAACAGCGAGGCTGTGGCCGCGGTCCCAGCCCCACGGGTGGACGGCAGCCTCGGGCAGTTGGGTGGCTTTACAATGAGTGGGTTTCGTGTGGCACAAAGCCCCTCCTCCCACCTGGCTTTCCTGCAGGCTTAGCCCACTCTTCAGGACCCCAAGAGCAGGGAGGTGGCCTGGCAAGGCTCGCTCCTGGCCCTGCCCTTCCTCAGTCTCCCCTCAGAAGCAGGGCTCGTGGGCAAAAGTGAGGCTTCTGCCGCTGCCCCTGGCTGGGGCCATTATGCTGGTGGGGGTGGGCTGTCTGCTGCCTGCAGAACACCAACATGGGGAGGGGGGCATCTCCTGGGCGAGCCTCTCTCCCAGAGCTCTGAGACCAGAAGCCCCGGGGCCAGCAGGGTGGCAGGCTGCTCCAGGTGGTGTGGTGGCTTGGATGATGGGGTGGCAGCTATAGATGGGGTCTACTCTCTCCAGTCAAAAGACAAATATGAAAGCAGCTGAAGGCCATCTCTTTCTCTAAGCAGAAGGGACAGCTGCCATTTTCTCCCCTGACTGCTGCATGGTGGGCCTTGGCTAGGAGCTGTGGTGGGCACAGGACAGGCAGGCGGGGTCTGAGGAGGCTGGGTCATTTCTGCCTCAGCACCCTGCGGCTGAGCTTGCTGGTGGATGGGACCAGCTTTGAGGGAGGCGGGGAGGTGGCTGTGACTTGGTCAGCTCCATTGCTTGTCCCACCCCGCCACCAGGCCTGAGTGGGGAGGTGACATGCAGGGTGAGGGCAGGTCATCTCCCCCCAGCTCCACGACACACACTTAACACCCTGTGCCTCCCATTCCAGCCCTAAGCAAAGGGAGCTGGGGGCTGCTGCACACCTCAGCCTCGGCTGGCACCGCCTGCCTCCCTTACTGCCTCTGCGTTCCACAGGAAAGCCTGCTTTAGAGGTGGTGTGTCCTCGGTGGCCACACAGGAGTGTGGTGCCAGGACCTCCTGTGCCCAGTGGTACTCTGGGGGCAAGGCATGGGATTGTGCCCTCCACATTCACCCAACAACTGCCCGGCCTCCTCCACACTTGCTCTAAGAGGATGTGGTCTCCATGACCCCTAGGCAGGGACAGGGCACGAGGTCTCTGTCTGCTCAGAGCCCCCAGCTATGGGTTTGGCTGTCCAGGGTCACAAGTAGATGTGCCTCTGGCAGGAGTTACAGCCACTGGAGGCAAGCTGGTTCCCCAACTCTGGGACCTGCCCGGCGCCTGGCACACCCCATGTGCCACCCACCCTGAGCTGGCAACACCATCTCAGGGCCGCGGGGCTGGGGGCTTTCTGCCAGAGTCTTACAGCTGATTTTTAAGAAACGCCACCCACATATTGGAATTTAAACCACCACCCTTTTGATGCAGTTTAAAAAGAAGGTTTAAACAAAGTTTCCCGAAAAGCATCTTTCTCTTCAGGAGAAACAGGGTTAGAACCACCTGGACTCGACCTGCAGAAGCGAGGCATTCACTCGTCCACGGAAGACGAGCAAAAGCAAAATGTCTACGAAAGTGCTTTGAACGCATGTCAGCCAACGCAAGGAGCGCGCCAGTTATTTTTAGCCTTATGGGAAAACGAGCCACTTGTTCCTAAGCCAGCCCAATTGCTATTGTCTGCGGAAGACGCCAAGTTCGCTAAAAGCCAGATTCCCATAGCGCAGAGCCCACGTGATGGTGTCTGCATGGCAGGGAGAGGAGCTGCCCGGGAGCAAACTCTCAGGGGCCCAGGCTCCTCGGAGGCCCCCGGGTAGGGAGCCAGGGCGGGAGAGGGGTGGGGCAGGGAGTATGAATCCAGCTTTGTGCCCGTGGCTGGGCCTATGGCAGACACAGCCTTCAGAACTGGGCTCCCCCTAAGCTGACATGGGTGTGGGCTTGTCTTGGGGTGGGTGGTACACCCTGGTTACAGTCAGCAGTCCTCAAGAACAAATAGGAGGTGCTTGGAATCCTGCAGGGGCCCCTGCAGAGCGGCCAGAGGACGCCCCTCACTCCTGACTGTGCACAGCTCCTGCGTCTGTGCACCCGCTTGCAGCTCCTGTCTCCCGAGGTCATTTTCAAGAGACACCCCCTGGTATCGCGCCATCCCTATGATCACCGGAATCAACCACATTGATCACTCAGTGACCAGCCAGCCACAGAGAAGGGCTGCCATCTGCTAACCTGCCTCAACGGTGGCGGAACCACGGGGCCCGGCTCTCCATGCTGCAGGAGACACAGCGAGTCTGTCTTTTCAGCCAACAGATCCACCAAACTTCCACCCAGCGTGGAAGGCCCCTAACAAGCCCCCTCCAAGCTGCTCCTTGGGCCTGAGACTCCAGACACAGGCTCACCCTCTGGAGGGCCAGTCCAGTACCCCAGGGATTCTGTCTCTCACACTTGGAATTAAGGCCAAATGGTTCTGGTGTTACAGAAAGAAGCATCTCCCGAACCTTCCCAAGCCTGAAGCAGGGAGCCCCGGGAGAGAAGGCACAGAATAGAACTGAGTGAAAGAAGCTGTGGGGCCAACTCCCCAAAAGCGAACCTGAGCGAGGCCACGAAGGGCCCTGGCGCAGCAGATGGCCCCCGGCCCCCACCCCAGGTCCTCCCTGACCGCCCCCACCGGGGGGATCCAGAGCGGTGCCCAGCTCTGCCGGGAACAACGGACTGCCCGACATCCCGTGAGGAAAAAGGCAGAAAAGACCCAGACTCCAAAGCTGCTCCCTGGGCTGTGGTAGTTCCGAGGACAGGGTGGCTGCACGCTCGGGGAGCCGGCAAGAGGCTGACACCCAGCTGTGTGGCGCGGCCAGGCCAGGCTCTCCCCCAGGCAGCGGGTGGGCTCCCTCTCTGGGACCCCACACTGCTCAGGAAGCTTTCATCAGGCCCAAGAGTTGGGCTCCCCTTCAAGGGCCTACCTAGTGCCCAGGGGGAGGGCTGTGGATTCCAGCACACGCAGCCCTACCTGGGCCCGTGCCCCTCAGTTCTTCTCTATCTGCTCGATGTCCAGCTCGCCATCCAGGGAGCAGAGGCTGTTCCCGGGGACCCCACGGTCCCTCCAGGCTGTGGCCGGCTCCACTCTCCTGCCGCAATCCTCGTCCAGGGCGCAGCCGTCTGACTCCTCACAGGACAGGTCCTCCGGGCAGGCGAGGTGGTCGTCGAAGGAAGGGGGAAGAGGCTCAGGGACTGGGGTCCCAGCGGGGGTCCTGCCCCCTGGGCCAGAGGCTGAGAGCAGGGCGGTCCAGGCCCTGGTGGTGCTGACGTGGCAGGCGAAGGGGTTCTGGGGGCTGCAGTCCTCCGTCCCTGCGCTCAAGCAGCTGAGGCTGCTGAAGGCCTGACAGTTCTGTGGAGGGGCAGACATACAGGTTACTGAGGGCCACTCCCCTCCTGGAGCCCCAGGACTGCACACCCCACAAAGTGACCACCGAAACCAGGCTGTGGTGAGACCACTCACGTCCTGGGCTCCTCCCATCCGGGCAAGGACGAGCCATCAGCAACGCACTCATGAAGACACACCTCTGGCCCGTGCACGCGCTGTGCTCATGAAGACAGGCAAAGTTCCACTATTCACCTACTAACTCGGCAAAGCACACACGTGCGACGCAGGCCCAGTTCTGGGGAAGCTGAAGTGGAATACTCCTAACACTTCCCGCACAGCCCTTCGGAAGGGCGACCTGGGAAAAATGTGTCCAATTCCTTGATCAGGTGATTTCACGACTCGGATTTTTATCTTAAGAAAACATTCTAAGATGCATGTAAAAGCTCAGCAGCTTCCTGTTAGATGGAAAAGATGATAGTAACCCAGCCCACAATGGTGGTGAAATCAAGGGTGCTTTTCAGACGGGACCTCGGCTAACACATGGATGTGCGGACGCACTGTGACGCTCCCCGTGAAAAGGGACCTGACTCACAGGAGATGTGGCTAGGCTGTACTACTACACACAGGGTGACACGATGCCCGCTCTACCCACCCTCCACAACCCGAGAGGGAGATGTGGGTGGAAGGGGCGGAGCTGGTGCTGAACCCAGTGTGAAACAGAACCACGCGGGTAGCTGGCGGAAACGTGAGTTCTAGGCTTGCCTGGAGATGCTGAGTCTCTAGAAGGGAGTGGCCCAGTGCCCTCCACAGGTGCTGGGAACTGGGGGGTCTGGTCTGCTGAGCAGGGGCCAGGCTCCCGGTTCTGGTGCTTACCAGCTGGGGGCCTCTTCTATAAGAGATGCATGATGGTCCTTGCCTGCCTTGCTGGGCCCTTTGGGCCCTTCGAGGCCTTAGAGAGAGACTAGACTGCACAAAAGCTTTTCTGCCCACCCAGTGCTCCCTGAGTGTGGGGGCTGGCCTGGGGCAGGAGGCGGCCTGGGGCCTGACCCAGCATCAGGTAAAGCACGAACAAGAATTCAAGGATATGCAGGCTGGGTCCGTTTGGAGTCACCTGCCAGCAATGGGGGTAGGGCACTGTGGTTCAAAGCCTGCTCCCAGGGCAAAGCACAAAACTCAGCCTTCTCCTCAGAATGATGCCACCATCCAGTCAGTCAAGACAGAGGCTGGGACAGTGAGGGGCACCTACGGCCCAGCCCTGGATATCCCCAACAAGACTGCTGCATGGAGGTCGCATCCCAGAGGGAAGCGCAGGGAGAGCTGCACACGGGGCGGGGGATTCCAGCCTTTGGTTTCTTCCCTGCAGAGGGTGGGTACGGGAGAGCAAAGCGAGGCTCTGGAGCACCCCCCGCCTCCCTCGCCGCACACTGGCCAAGGCCAAGACCACAGACCTGTCCCGAGGGCTTGATCCTTTCAAAGGCTGCAGTGTTTGCGTGTCTCTTTGAAATACAGGCGACCACCGGCTGTCACAGCCAGCAAGCTGTCAGACCAGCCTCAGCAACCAGGAAATAAAAGGCACTGTCTCTGGAGGAAGGTGTATGTGCCTGCCGTGGGCACGCGCATTGTTCTCGAACGCTCCATGGAGGAAGCCGTTCTGATGAGTTTGCTTTTCTTGCAATCTTTTGATTAACTGAGAAAGCTAAAGTCTGAGGTGCTGGGAGGAGCTGTGCACAGGGACTGGGGAGATGGGCAGAGCACCTGTGAGACTGGAGATGCTGGCCCAGGCCGCTGGGGAGCCCCTTCCCTGCAGCTGCCCCCATGGAGCCACAGGTCCGCCCTCCGGGCCATGGTGGGATTCCACGCAGCCCAGGATGTGCGCAGAGCACGCTCTCCCCACCATGGGAGAGGGCGGGAAACGGCGACCCCTGCACCACAGCCTCGGGATTCTTGCCTGCCCCCGCCAGGGCTGGGTGACGGGCCAGCAGCTCCTGAGTGTGAGGTGGGGTTTCGAGGAAAGGGTCTCTGAGGCTCCTTCCTGCTTCTCAGCCACCCTCTTGACTGGCCTAGACCTGAGCCAGGACAGGAGAACTGAGCAGGGGGCACAAAACAGGGGCAAGATGGCCCAGCCTGGGTGGCCTCAGCCGTGTGTCCCAGGCTCTGCCCAGCCAGGATGCCCTGATAGAGGAGGCCTAGGGAGAGGCCAGGAGGGGCCCAGGGAGCCAGGCCCACCTCTCCCGACACTGGCTGAGCAGCCTGTTTCTCGGCCTGTATAGAAGCCACGGTGTGTAAGAATAAATCAGGCGTCCCCAAACTTTCTACACAGGGGACCAGTTCACTGTCCCTCAGACCGTTGGAAGGCCGCCACATACTGTGCTCCTCTCACTGACCACCAATCAAAGAGGTGCCCTTTCCTGAAGTGCGGCGGGGGGCCGGATAAATGGCCTCAGGGGGCCGCAGTTTGGGGACGCCTAGAATAAACAGTCACATCCAGCCGAGGCCAGAGCAGCCAATAATGACCGGTTCCAGGTGGGTGACTGGGCACTAAGGCCAACTGCCTTGGGTGCCAGCCACGTCTGTTGAGACCAGTGTGCCTGACGCCCGAACGTGTGCCCGTGTTTTCTGCAATCTGTTATGTGAAGGGCTGTGTGTTTCTGTGGCCTCTCGGGCCGACGGAGTGGAGCACAGCCTGCGCACTCACTGTGCTCGCCTTCTCAGTCCTGCTTGGGGCTTCCCACTGGCCTCCTCTGGTATAAGGTGCAGGTGGCAAGGGGTGCCTATCCTGAGCGCCACCATGACTATGCGGGTCTGGGCACTAATTGTGGTGCTACGGTCTCAATTTGTGCCTCCTCCCCAATTCCTATGTTGAAAGCTAAGCCTCAGTGCTCAAGTATGAAGAGGTGGGGCCTCTGGGAGGCAATGAAGTCATGTCAGGGGCCTTCATGGATGGGACTAGGGCTCACAACAGTGACTGGAGGGGGCGCAGGTGCCTCTCCCGCCAGGCAAGGACATGAGAAAGTGCCAACTATGAAGAGTGGGCCCTCACGAGACCCAAGCCTGCTGGCACCTGGATCGTGGCCTTCCCAGCGTCCAGCTCAGAGAAATGCATTGCTGTGGTATGTAGGTTCCCCCAGTCTAAGGCATCTTTGTCACATGCTGCCCAAACAAAGTCAACCACATTATGCATTAGCCACAGCCAGGCAAGGGCGCTGGGGACCCATTAGCTGGACCTTTCACAGATGTGTGGCTTTTGCCTCACTGTGACCCAGAAGGGGCTGAGGTCAGACAGGCAATACAGGGGCAGACTCAATCCACGTGGGCATCACAACGCCAGGCCATTCTTCCACCTCTGGGTTGCGGCCAGCCTGCCTGCCAAGTCAGGGTGTTTAGGGCTATCTGGACTCATTGGGCCTTTTCTGCTGTGATACAGGGAAAATCTGCAAGGACGTGCTGGTGAATCTTGTCACAGGCAAACCATAGAATGCCACTGGGCCCCCCATATTCTTCAAATATACCTGCTCCTTGGCTTCAAAGCCAGTGTCACCTTGAGAACGCTGTTGACTCAAAACTCAGCCATTTCAGCCACAGTGAGAGAAGGCCAAGAACCACCCACTGTTTGCCCCAGCTGGTGGCGGGCCTCACCTGTAAGGAAGGAATGTGGCGGCCACAATGGGCGATGTGTGTTCTGCCCAGGCCCCATCCCTTGAGAGCCCTCCCCATGCAGACTCCCACAGCGTGCCACACCCAGGCCCTGCAGCGACCCTGTGCCCTCCACAGCCCAGTGGCAAGGTCCTGCCCAGCATCTCCTGGCAGCTCCAGCTACACTACACGGCCAGTTGGAAGCCTGGCAGCCTGTGTGTCCTCACAAACATCTGCAAAAAGCTGCAAAATGGCTAAGTTCAAAGTGCCACGTGAACACATTATTCCAGGGTGAAACTGCTGCGCCAGGACCAGCTGTCCTCTCAGCCCGCCAACTTCCGTTCTCCTGACATCCAGCCCTATCCCTGGACTGGGCCACTTACTCTGGCACAGCCCTGCCCAGGTGAAAAGCTCTGTGGGAACTGTCCATACGGCCTCAGGCCAGTGGTCAGGGACATGGATCAGGACCTACTCCTAGAGTCTGCAAAAGCTAGGCCACTGCAGCCTGCTGGAGAGGTAACTTTGGGATGGAGCCCCGGCCTTTCCCATCAGACCCCCTAGACCTCAGCTCTAGCCACGACAGAGGCCCTGGCCACGCCCACCGGCCGCAGCTCGGATTTCCTGCTCAGCCTGCTCCAGCCGGCCTCCCCAGGGCTTCCCCGCTAGGAGCAACAGCCCCTCTTCTGCAGGGCTGTTCAGTGCAGATATTTATTCCTACACTTTCTCCTGAGTGGGAGGTCCCTGGCTGGGCACAGGAGTAAAGACAAAGGTGGCCTGGTCCTTGCCTTCTAGGTACAAGCTGAAAGTCCCACCTTAGGAAACACGCTGACTCAGCATGTCGGCTCTGTATTGCTGCCAGGCAGACCGCCACTCACCCTGTCCAGCCTTAGCCCGGCAAGCTCATTCCCTGCCCCATGTGCTGCTGTTCCTGGGCCTGCAGGGTGAAGATGTAGTAGGGACTCCAGAAACGTCTCCTGAGCTGAACTAAACCTCCTGTTTTATCAGTCGTGACCCAGAACCCACTGTGGGCTGTCAAGGGCAAGGCCTGGGGAGTGGAGGGGAAACAGCCCCCGGATTTCTCTAGGGAGAGCTGCCAGGGGCCTGGGAGTCCCCAGAACTCATGGACTACATCCCCACACACAGGAGTGGGCATCTGGTGACAAAGACTAACCTAAGCTGCTGGTCAAGTGATGTATCTGGGAGCAGCGGCCACTCCCCTTTGTCCTGGCTGCCTTCTCGGAAGGAGGCCGGGTATTCTCACCCCTTGGGCTCTGGCTCTGCCCTGAACCTGGAGCGCTCTGGGGAGGAGCCAGGGGAACTGGATTCTGCAGCTGGAGGCACTGAGCTCCTCTGCTGACCAAGTGGCCTCACTTCCCGTTTCCCCTCCTGGG